ATCTAGAATTGTTATAATAACGAATAAAAGTCAACAATTAGCATTTATGTTATTATTTCAAGTTATATTCACAACACTAACAACTGTACCGCATGCAACTCAAAAACTATATAATACATTAACATGCAATGATGTAAAAAGTGACCTTACCCTTGCACAAGACAATCTTTATTCAGAAATGGCTCGTGCAATATCGTTTGCGAATCATACATGTTCATTTTTTATTTTAACTCTAACAGGAAAAATTTTTCGTAAAGAATTGATAAAAATGTTTCAAGACATTAGACGTTATTTTATGCCTCGAAATACAAAAATTAGGTGTATTTCATTAAGAAGTAGTCGATCAGAGAAAATAGCAAAGCACCGTTATGTATCATAGAACAAACTTTGCTTAATTCTTACATCACTTTGTTCACCGAGAGTCGCAGATAAAGCGCACATTCTTGTGAATTTATTTTACTCACTGTAGTCATTTATTTTATATTCTAATTTCTTTTTTAATTTTTACTTCACGTTCCTCGTTCTGCGTGCAAATTTTTAATTCTATGTGGTGAAAATGTGTTGTACGTGAAAGTAAATTCAAGTGAATCAGACTCAGAGAACTTGTTCAGACAAATAGAATTTTACTTAAAGAGTTGATTATTTACCTGAGATACTCATAAAAATTCAGTGCCTCTATTGCCACCACCATATATATCAGCAAAGAGCTATTGCCACCGTCTGAGGGTGGCGGAAAGTGCTATTGACATTGTCGGAGGGCGGCAGCAAAGAGTATATGACACCTCTGGAAGTATTAATTATACAGTAGCTCCAAAAATTGATCATACAGATGTACTTTCGATTTTTTTCCGTAATGGTAACTAGTATAAAGATTCCAAATAGTGATTTGGATAGAGAAAATTGTTTTCAACAAATATTTGAGGAAAATAAAATTTTCACTATATTCCCAAACCTAGGGCTTCCAAAAAACCAAAAAGCTATGTTTTCAGCATCCAGAATACGATAATAAAAGTTTGCTTTAATCACATAGTGTGATACAGCAACTAATTCTCTACAAAATAAGACATCTCCAGGCCCTCTACGAAGTTTTCCGACTGAGCTAAGTTACATCAATTTTATAAAACATCCCAAAATACTTCTTTTCGGGTTTTTGGTTTTCTGGAGACCCTGGATTTGAGAACATAGTGAGTATGATAAAACATTTCATAACCGCACTTTGATATAACAAACATTTGCTGAAAGTGGCATCAAAATTGGGTGTAAGACAAAAAAGTTTTTTTCTGAGGGAGGGGGCCAATACGAAACTTGAATACATTATACTTTGTAATTAATCTGGTGGAGAATAAATGTTAAACGTACCGGTAAATACTGGTGCATACCGAGAACAGTTTGATTCATCCAGAAGAAAAAAAAATTTTACATTTTATCGAATCCATAAAGCAAAAATATTTGTTGGAAACAATTTTCTCTATCCAAATTACTATTGGATTCTTTATACCAGTTATCATTACGGAAAAAAATCGAAATCACATCTGTATGATCAATTTTTGGAGCCACTGTAGTTGATACTTCCAAAGGTTCATATACTGTTTACTGCCACCCTCAGGTGGTGGTAATAGTCATTCCGATTTTTATAATATCTGTTATAACAAGAGTAACTGGAAGTTGTAAGACATGAGATCATTACAAAACACAATCAATCGTTCATTTTAGGTGTTATTAAATCATATTTACACGAATATAACAAATGTAGTGTAAATAAGAGTTCGTTGACTGGTAGAAAAGCACATGAACCAGGTATTTTATTCTCCAAAGAAATATTGTTAGCTGATCAATACACATGAGGATTTGAACTTTTAAAATAGTCTCTCAACCTCATATTGACGAAATAGTTTTTAGAAGAATCCGTTAAACATAAACTCTCTTTTATTACCTCTTAGTACAATAAGGTTCCCACATTTTTCCAGATTGACAAACTGCTTAAAGTCTGTCAGACTGTTCTGTCTGTCTGTTATATTTGTGGTTAAAGCCCAAACACTCCATTTTGTTTGAATTGAAATATGTTTTTCTTCCCAAACAACCTGGTTAGGGATACAGGAATCTATTTTATCCATTTCAAGACCATTTTTAATTAAAATAAATATCATATTCAGGATTAGCTCATCAAAGTGCATCGAATTCTGCGTAAAGCCACGTATTCTGACGAAAATACTTTTGCTTTTGGTCTCTCCTCTCAGGCGACCCTCACCCAAACCTAACGGCAAAGGAGTCCTAAGACTTCGGGAAAAACGCCTATAGCTCCCGAACCATGGATTTCCGAGATGTTACTTAGATTAAGTTTTGTAGAGGACACTTCAAACTATATATTTATGAAAAATTCAATGGTCGTTTTTAGAAATCCAAACTGGTTTTTCAAAGACCCGCTGAAAAAGCGTAGTAATAAACCAAGTGGTTTCGAAGAAGGTGGATAAAGTGTAGGGAAAGTCATTTCTTGCGATCCTCTATCGCAGTGACCGCAATGTTCTATCTTACGCTGTTATTGAGTTACTGGAAAATGTATATGCATCTTATTTGCGTAAAGCCTAGTGAAGACAGACTTATATATAAAAGATACGAAAAATGGAATAAGCTGAATAATATAACTTTAGAGTAAGTAAACAGCATTGAAAGAAAGAGTTAAATGACATCAAGAAATTTGCTGTGGATTTACTAATTTTGAGCTCAATCTCTAGTTAAACTTGAAATGAATTGCATCATGTTCCCGAAGAGAAACCCGAGTAAAACATGGTGAAATTAGCTTCAAAGTACACTTTAGAGAGGGAATTTTCTAGCTCATAAAACTTGTGCTTTTTTGGTGTCATCATGAATTAAAGTTAAAACCTGCTTAGGAAATTTCAAAAGTTTTCTCAGAAACTATTCGAAGATAAAAGTATGAGTTTAAATTTCTATTTGCGTTTGAAGTATTCAAGAAATGTATTTGATCATACCCTGAACATTCTGATTATTTCTTGCTCTAGAAAAAAGGCTTTTAAATGCTTTTCCTTTCAAGTATGCCGATCTAAATTACTTCTTTGTTTAATTTCCGTTCAACAGCGAACAGGCTTCAAAGAGAACGAAGTCCAACGAACGATAAGTCCAAAAATAGTTATGCATATATAATTTTACGTACTCTATCTAATGAGGCTAAAACTAGAACTTAGAATTTGGTTAAAGAATTAATCTCGAGAAAAAAAGTTTTTGTCCAAAATTTTAAGCAAAACACCTGAGCGGGCAAAATTTCGCTTGAAACTTTTTGTCTGCCTTCAAGCTCAGACTTAGGTGAAAAGGTTACCCGATCCGAATATCACGGTCTCTCGGCTGGAATCGTTGCGGATAAAAAGAGGAAAAAAACTACATTGCGCTGATTTTTGAATTAGATCTTAGTTTTTTATCAAATTAAGGATTTGAGCTTCATTTTAGTACTAAACGAGGTCTGAGAAGGTGCACAATGACAAAATCTGGTGTTTATAAGCTTGTCTAAAAAGAACCAGATTTTGTCATTATGCACCTTCTCAGACCTCGTTTAGTACTAAAATGAAGCTCGTAGACTTAGACCCTGTCTACAACTGGAACAAAGATGTTCTATTCCATCACATACGTCAGTATTCGTAAGGTGAAGTACGCCGATCTTAATTGTTGCCGCAGGAAGAGTTACTTCTCTATTATAAAGCATCGTAAAACTGATGCTACTGTATGGTATATAAAATTCTTCTTCCTCTATTAGTTTTGAAGTTAGTTCTCACTTAAGGGCCCTCCCTTCCCCCTCAGAAATTATCTCCGACACCGTACATTTGATCTTGATGAAACTTTCCATTAATGTCTGGCTTAATGAGTTACAGGAATGAAAAGAAGTTTTTGTCTCCAAGTCTTACCGTTGAGGAGTTTTTCAGAGATCAAGGTCCAAAAAGGACCCTGATGTGTTTCATAGGAAGATGCTGTCAGATCCTGGCTACAAGACACTGGAAGCCGCAGGTCTTCATCGTGTTCCGTTAAAAAGTTATAAAAAAAATGACTGCGGCCACTGTTCATTTGGACGGATTATCCTGTCTTCATAAAGCCAGTTTCATAAAATTTTTCATTTTTATCTGACTTGTAGGTTAAAAAAATCAACATCCAAGTTTGCTAAATTTTATGAAACTTGGAAACAAGTTTCATAAATGTGTGATTTATGCTGTTGCAGGTTTAATTAATTAGTTGCTTAATTAATTGTAGTATTAATATATTACCTAGAGACATATAACATTATATAATTGGTAGAGGCCACATAGAGACGTGTGTTTGTGGTGTTTTAATTGAAAATAATGATTTATTTAATTAGAAATAGTATCAATGTGTCTTTAGGTGCTATGTGAGGTTTGTAGAGACGCAGTGACTCAACCAAATAGAGGTGCTAATATCTCACCAAGATAGGTGTGAGTTACTTAGAGACATAGACTGATTCAAATAAAAATATGGAATTTTATTCTAAAACTGTATAGACAAGTCTCTAAGTGATATGTGAGTCTCTCAGAGACATATGCTTACTCGTACAAGAAGCGGTATCTTTATTCTAACAGGGCTATGTATAAGTCTCTAAGAGAGACATTAAGTCTAAAATTAATTTCCAGAAGAGCTATTCGACTTAGTGCTAAGATAATAACACAAGTTAAATATCCACGTTAAATTTTGGCCTATCTAAAACAATTTCGACAATTGCTTTTGCTTCTGCACTTTCTACACGCATGCTTTCTAAAATTCCAATAATCTGATGTACGGGTATAGTAGCTATATCGCACTTCCAAAGAGCTATGCCAGTTGTTCGTTTTACTGCTCGATAGACCATATTCCATAGTTTTTTAAATTTGGTCCAAAAGTTCTGCTGCTCAACGAATGTAATAGGCTTTTCACTAGAATGTCTCTCAATAATCTGCCATAAATTGTATGCTGATGTTTCTCTGATTGGTTTATACATTACTTCAAGAGGGCCACCTTTAGCAAAACATGTTGATACTAGACCATTAAAATTCATTCCATTCTTAACAAATTGGCTCTTATTCTTTTCTGCCCATGAAGATACTGGTTCTTCATTTTCACATC